GGTACTAGTTTTAATTTTGTTGTATTTATCCGCGACACCTTAAAGGCCGGTCCGTGAAAATATTTTTGGGCATAAACCGGTCCGTGGCGCAAAAAAGGTTGGGGACCGCTGCCTTAGATGCCTAAACTATCATCTAGATTAAATGTTTCATTGGCTCACCTGGGCCCTGAGGCCTTCGATGATAGTGTAGTACTTGCTGTAGTCCCTCCCTTCCAAGGGGCCTCTATTCTCAGTGGCCTCTCTGATCTTGACCTCCAGCACTGCATTGGCCTTCTCCAGATTCCTCACCGTCTCCAGATAGTTCGCCAGGCGGTCATTCAGACGCTGCATGGCATGCTTCTCGCTTCCAATGCCCATGACTCCAGAAGTGGATCCAGAGGACAAGGACTGGTAGTCGTATCCTCCGCCAAAACCGCTGCCAACACGCGAACCATAGCTGGTACTGGAAATCTTGGTTCCACGGCCACCTGCCCCTCCAGTCACACTGTGGGCGTAGGAGGTTTCCATCCGTAGGGATCTGGGACCTCCAAGTGAACTTAAACCATAATTTTGAGAAGACTGGCGTCTAAGCTCCATTGGTAAAGGAAGTGTGCTGATCAATCAGAGTGAGAAATGGCACTGAGGAGAGTGGCAGCAGAGTGGAGTATGAAGGTGGAGTCTGAGGCCTTATATACAACTCTGAAAAGCAATATTTCTTCCTGAAACTCCTCTCCTATCTATATTAAATTGTTACCTTTGACCTTCTTGCTTAGACTTTGTCCTCTACCCACTCACTTCACAGGTAAAAAGTGTACTGACATTTTCATTTTGATAGTGTGGAAATAAACTGATAACCTGATATGACTCTCAGTGGACACAGTGAGGCTGGACATGTTCTATTTATTTATTTATTTATTTTTTTGAGATGGGGGAACAAATCTGTTTAAAAATGTTCTCTTTACTATAGATGCGCCCTGCAGTACTATAAATAAATAGAAATATATATTTGTTACACACCCTTGGATTGCACCTAACACCCACCCCCCAAAAGATACATGTATTACAAACATGTATAGTGTACTTACAAATTGAGCATGAAAAACACTGTGGGAGAGGGGAGTATACTGGTAAAGGAACATGAGCCCTTCTGGATGGGTCAGATCACACCTAATCTGAAAATTGAAAGCTTAATTTTTTTTT